AAATGGTTTCCAATAAGTGCAACCTGAACTCGTATCTCCCAGTCCAAGGTCCAGAAAAGGCAAAAATTCTAGGAGAAACGGTCTGGAATTGATGCACCTTCCAGGTTACAATTACTCCGAAGAGTATCCAACAAAGGTGAATAAGTGACGTTAAGTCCAGCGGCCACTGCATCAATCCAAATATGGCAGTAGCCATATTAAAGATCAAATTTAAACAACATATATACAGATCAGAAGCAAACACAAAAACTTCAATATAAGTACAAAATATAGAAAGAATAACAATATACAATGATAAATTCTCAAATTGGAATCAAATAAAATACCAAAAATGTCAACAGAAAAAGTCCGTCATGTCATAACAAAAATATGTAAACATGGAGGGATTTTCCAAAAAACAAAACATTCAAAAAGGATTCTACACCGGCCCGCAAAATCCCTCCATGCAAAAAAGCAAGCGTTAATGACACTTCAATTTAGGGTTCCCACTCATCCCCTAATCCACACCGGAAGAACGTGTAGGACTTACAGCAGTACGCCTACCCGCCCTCCAACATGGATATGACCTATCAAGCTAACTAGGTACCTATACTTTCCCATCAGGCCCTTGATTCCCCTATCTATCGTAGCATGACCTAACGGTAGTATAAACCTTACCCAATTAACCCACACGAACATGTACAACACGTCGTAAAACTGGTCATATCCTATCCGGGAACTACATTCCCCATCATGGGGATGAGTCGTCAATCCACCATCACTTGCTCCGATCAGCAGATACAATGAAGTCCGTGATGCTGACTTATCAACAGAAGTTCTTGACCCATAGATAATATGCAAGGGTGGGATCTCCAATTTTGACAATTCTTCGTCTCCAGAAGACTTTAAATAGCATAACATGGGATCAATATTTATTTCTCCATCTCCTGATACAGAGGAGGTTTGATCAGCATTCGTCATCGTCGGTAACTTGTTTGTCACATCAGTGACATCCAGATTATTATCGACGTCATCATGATTCCGTTCTGTCAGACAAGTCGCGTCGATTCGGTCTGCACTAGCATCCGTAGAGTGGAACTCTTCCATTTTTGTATAACTCATATCGCTTCATGAAAGAACAGCATTAGTGTCACAATCCAAAGCCGATAAACTCACTTCTTGTTCTTCATGTTCCGTTTCAGAGACACACGACATATGCACATCAATAGCATCGTTATCATACAACACTGTAAACTGACTGTTACCATCAGACGCTTCCTTCTCATCATCACTTGACTGACAGTCAACCGAAGTAGGAACACTTACAGTTACACAACCTTGTGTATCCTTAATCAACTTAACATTCGCGACAAGGTCCGATGACGTCGAATCACTAGAAGGCTCGTTCGATGAAGTTGATAGACTAGTCACTATAAGTGGACTGCTCACACTTTCTGTCTCCTTATTATCGCTGTCACTACTAAGATTCTGATGACTACCATTTCCATTGCTAGTCATAGCATCCGAAAGAGAATGATGTTTAGGCTTCTTAATAATAGTAGCATCATGTTATTTCCTAGGCTTCTTAGCCTTCACAGTACCGCTATCACTTGTCCTAGAATCTACTCTAGGTCCCGTTATATAATTTACCCTAAATGAAGGGTTCCGAAAATAAGCTTTATTCCGTCCAGACAATCCTGCCTGGGCCTTATTCATATTTACTGAACTCATTAACCTCTGTTTACTCGAATCCAAATAACCGTTCCAGGCTTTTCGAGCAGCTAAGAGGCTTTTATCATCACACACTTCGGATCCATCTTGATGCCTACACTTTTCACCTTTTTCTTTCTTTTCTATACTTAGAAAAGCCATCTTATCTGTTACACCAACCGGCTTCTTACTAGGATACGCATCAAGAGGTTTTACATCATCACGGTCACATACTCGTCCTTCATCAGCGTATGCTTTCGTGATATAATTGACAACTCTCTTATATTCCGGGCGTGCGTTAGGTAGAAACGAAGAATCCTCATGTCTCGCACGCAGACCACTAGTAGCTTCCGAATTATGTCCTGTTTTAGCCCGATAAGCTAATCTTCCGAACCTACTACTAGCTATCTTAGCACGAGACATAATAAATTCCGTCAATTCATTGAAATTAGGCTCTCTCTCCTCTTCGTCCCACTTGATTACTACCTCTGCCCACTGAGCTTGCATTCGAAGAGGTAAGAGCCCGACTATTCGTTCTAATGTAACCAAGGAATGAAGTTCCGTTGTACAATTTAGCTGTTCTAAGGTTAAAGCAGCATTCTGCATTTTAATAGCCAAATTCGTCAATTCTTCAGGATCATTAAAATCTGCGTTCCCGGTTCTAAATATGTCCTCTAAGGTTTCACTGGCTATTACATGCGACTGTCCAAAGAGCTGTTTTAGAATGGCCTTAGCTCTCTTATATCCTGCTTGTGGATCCATTATAATACAACCTTCAATCGCAATTTTTGCCTTTCCCTTACAATAATGAATTAAATACAATAAACGAACTTGGTCATCTTTTACTCTGGGTTCTATAAACGTTTCAATTTGGCGCATAAATCTAAAGTAGTCGCGAGACTTCCCATCAAAAAGTGAAAGTTCGACCTTTGGTAGTTCTAAACCTACTGTCGGTGTCCTAAGTATCTGATCCGTCTCTGGTACCTTAGAACTCTCACTTAAACCTTGTTCCTTAATGCCTGCCAAAGGTGACTTACAATAATAAGTATCAGACATAACATCATTGTTAACATAGTAGGAACCCATTAAACAATCATCATTAACGACTTGCCTAGCATTTCGGGATACGTCAAGCTCTTCCACCCTCCTCGTGTTTGTTTTCTTGCGATTGGTCATTATAAGTGAAGTTCAACGGAAGATAAATAACAAATACAAAATATAGGAATTCCACAGGTAATTTTTCAATAAGAAATATCCAAAATCAGAAAATCGTTTTCCAAAATACAGTTCGAATACAAAAATACGATAAGTAATCCAAGATTCTTCTTTCAAGAAAGTTAGTGTTATAAACGATTAAATTTCCAAATGTTTCTTTATTCTTCTTAATAATCCAACTGTAATTGGTCTTCTAATCAAAGGTCGAGCCACAATTCCAGACTGTAAATGGATTTCTACCGTAGCAGTTCAAATGGTTTCCAATAAGTGCAACCTGAACTCGTATCTCCCAGTCCAAGGTCCAGAAAAGGCAAAAATTCTAGGAGAAACGGTCTGGAATTGATGCACCTTCCAGGTTACAATTACTCCGAAGAGTATCCAACAAAGGTGAATAAGTGACGTTAAGTCCAACTGCTACCGGATCAATCCAAATATGGCTGTAGCCATATTAAAGATCAAATTTAAACAACATATATACAGATCAGAAGCAAACACAAAAACTTCAATATAAGTACAAACTATAGAAAGAATAACAATATACAATGATAAATTCTCAAATTGGAATCAAATAAAATACCAAAAATGTCAACAGAAAAAGTCCGTCATGTCATAACAAAAATATGTAAACATGGAGGGATTTTCCAAAAAACAAAACATTCAAAAAGGTTTCTACACCCACATCTATTGAGGAATGGGCAATGGAAAACATTTTAAAACTAAACTAATCGAAACGACACTTTATGAACATTCTTTTTAGCGTGACTCAAACGATTTACAGCCTCAATGAATGTCCCCTACCTAATTTCTACTCAGAGCTAGATCTCAGTCTTATATAAATACTAAAAGCCAAGGCATCAGTTCAAACCACATAGGGTGGCTGCCAAGTTTAGCGCCGTTCTTCACCTTATGTGGAGACGACTTGGTGCAATCACCCTAGAATTATTCTTAACGCTGTCTAAAACATAAGCGAGTCCACACACCGAAGCATCACCAACACGACCCTTGAAGTAATCCTCGAAAAATTACGCATCACAAAGTGAACGCGCAAGTTACTGCACACTTTTCCTCATTCAGAGTGGTTGCAACTTGGAATGCCCCTTCAGTGGATAGCTTCAATAAGAGACTTGATAAACACGTATGAACATACGGATTATCACCTCCCTCGAGGACCAGCTGTGCCTTACTCATTTCGAAGACCTGCTAGTTGTTATTATTACCCTCTTTACAGATCACTAACTTAATCTATCTCGGTTATTATCTCTGCTTCCTTTCCATCGATTACATATCGATCTTCTCGCAAAATTTTCACAAATTGCGGCCTAATAGCGTGATAGCTGTTGGTATCCAGAAATCCTACTTCCCTGAAATAAAAGTACTCATTCAAATCACGAGACATACAAACTCACAAACAACTGTCGACCAACTAGAATTAGTGCGGTCAGGTGGCTAGACCACCATCCATTAGACAACATGAAATACCAGGGACCGTACCGGAAGAACAAGAAGCGGGTGCAAAATCAGTTGGATTACACTAGATCGCGAAAATCTTTTGGATTAGATATTGGATAATAACAAGTCTCAAGATAACTAAAGGGAAAAGCAAGAATCTCCAATACAACACAACATGCGTCAACCAAATCACACTTGATGCAGATGCCTCGGAGGATGTTAAAACCTTCACATATCTGGGCAAAATTATCTGCAGTCAAGGTGGATCCGATGCAGATGTGAGAGCGCGGATCAGGAAAGCAAGGGTTGCATTTCCACAATTGAATAATATCTGGAACTCGAAACAACTGTCGACAAACAATAAGGCCAGAATTTTCAATACAAATCTCAAAACATTTCTACTATGTAGGGCGGAAACTTGGAAAATTACCAAGGTTTCATGTATTCAAAAACAGTTGTCAACACAAAATACTTCAGATCCGTCGGCCAGACACCATCAACAACAATCTACTGTGGGAACGAACAAAAAGGATTCGAGTTGAGCAGGAAATCAGGAATAAGCTCTGGAAATGGACAGGATATACATTGAAGTAAGCACCCAGCTGCGTCACAAGACAAGACCCCAGATATGACCCTCAAGGTCAGAGGAAAAGTGGAGGGCGAAAGAACACATTGCGCCAAGAAACAGAGAAATATACGAAAAGAATGAATAACGATTGGATAGAACTGGTAAAGGAATCCCAGGGCAGAGTAGGTAAGAGAACACTAGTCGGCGCTCTCTGCTCCAATAGGGTGTCTGGCGGTAATTGGATAATGAACAATTTTCTTAGAGGCATCTTCTAGTTTCGCGTTACAACAACCGGTAATTTGTTTGCGTTTATTATTGTGTTTGGTTTGGTCCTGATCTAGTGACAGAATCTTAATTGTCAATAATACACTAATTCCAAGGATTTTCATGCTGTATTTTGGCTTTTTGTTTTACAATTGTTTACTTTATTCGATTAGAGTATTCTTGTGTTGTCTCAGGACCTATGGATCAACAAGAGTTAAATGTATTTGCTTCATTGTGGTCTGTTTTTCAACCACATCAGCTATTGATAGTAGTTTTGCCTGTACAGTAACCAGCTCAGAACAATGTCATAAATGCATGTCGTCTCAAGCTGTGATGCCTCATGTCAAGATAAAGAAAAAAGATTTACGCTGGTGGCGAATCGAATAGGTGTTTTAGTTGGCAACAATATGGGCAATAAGAAATGTAGAACTGAAACCTGTTCGTGGTATGTGTAAAACTGCGTTGTGGGTCAGTCAGTTACAACGCAGAACTTCGTACGTACGTAGTAAACCAGTTCAAGTTGCCACACCACATAAGCACAGACACGTGATTGTCAATTCAAGTCCGGTACAAATAAATTTGCACCACTATGAAGGTTTTAGTCTAATTATTTAAGGTCTGCAACTACATATTTTGGCTCTCTAGTGAACATCAGCCAGGATGTTCATACAGTCAGTCAGCTGCAGCGTAGGACTTGGGCAATACGCACAACAGTTCAGATTGCTATACCACACTAGTATACAAGATGGTTTTGCTAGTTCGATTCCTATAGTAATAGAAGTTGTAGCATTATTAGAGACAGTCTAAAAGATTCGGGATAAAAGATATCATTCGATAAGTGTAACCCAGTAAAATAAATTTAAAAAGAGAAGAAGATCCTGAGCTCATGAACTCATAAGAAAAGACAAAAAGTAGATGCTTTTGCGCCATTGCAAATGATTGTGAACCATGTCATCCAAAGTCTCTAACCACCAGTTACGATTGTTTCGCGGAATTGTGTAAATAGTGTTTGATTATGACCGATTTGGTCTCATGTGCGGTTACGGGTATGAGGGCGGATGTTACTTCCCGTCTGCCCACACCGTAGAGGGTTGTTTCCTGAGGAACCTGAAAAGGAAGGTAGATTAGCGTTGCTCTCGGAGACCTGGGAGCGTGATAGCAGAGCCCAAGCTATAACTACCTGAGGCCGGTGGCACACGGCCTCAATCAATCAGTAACAACGTAGAACTTGGTACGTACGTACGTACATCACTTCATGTTGCCATACCACATAAGCACAGAGATGTAATTGTCAATTCAAATCCCATAGTCGTAGAGATAGTTAAGGTATTAGCAGTAATCGGAAGTTTTAAGGTTCGAAGATATAATTCAAGAAGTAGAATTTACTGAAATATACTTAAAAAGAAAAAAAATAATGGTGATGATAAATTCATAGGCTTAGGATTTGAGAAAACAAAGAATGAATGCACCTACGCTATTGCAAACGGTTTTTATCCACCTCATTCAAGGTCTCTAACCATCGGTTACTATCATCTTGTGGTCCCTAACCAAGAAGTCGACACCTAGTAACATGAGTCAGTCCAGCTGTCAGTAACTTCATGGATTTGTGCCATGTTCTGGTTTGGGCGCCCCTAGATTTCTTCCTACCCTTTTCCTACACACAAAACAGCTCGTCGAGGCAGTTAGTGGTTGGGCATACGTAACACATGTCCCAACCACTCAACTGACGAAGTTTCAATACTCCATCTGTTGATCTACCAGCGTTATGTAATACTCGTTTCCTTAACTACAGCATTGCTTACTCGAATTTCTCAGGATACACGAGCAATGCTTCGGAGACACCTGTGATCAAAAACCAGTAACCTTCGAATATCTTCTATTCTAACTGTCCATGTTTCGCATCCATAAAGTAGGATGAAACGAACTGGTGCGCAGTAAACTCGTCCTTTGGTTAACAGACAGATATCTCACCTACTCCATAAGTGGCGAAGATTGGCAAAGCCAATCAATCCTTCTGTATCCGTGCTGAGATCTCGTCAGTCACCAGGACATCTGCACTGATGAGACTCCCCAGAAAAGTGAAGCGGTCAACATGCTCAACCGCTCAACATTTAGTTTCACAATCTAAAGTTTACTTGCCTGGCTGACTGATTTATCATATAAACCCAGTATCTTACCATATGTCAGCATTATTCTCCGTATTCTCCTTGTGTGAACTTAAGCTGTATTTCACATATATATTTCCATATATATTTTCTCTTCGAGCCTACAATTTAATGTATTTCTAAAACGTATAATAATAAATGCTATGGAATTTCATCAGTAGTCTTATTTGTGGTTTGCTTTCATTAATGTTTACTACTTACTCCCTCCTACTTAATTTCAGGTTGATTTATCACACAACCTCTATTTATATCAGTGTTTTCTAAAATATGTCGTTAGCTGATGAACTTTTAGCTGATCTTGAAGGAGCTGAAACATCAGAAGAATTGATAACTGATTCAAATTTGCATGAAGTTGAAGATGTTACTATGTTAAGCGTAAATAAATCGGATGATTTTCAGTCGAATGTATCAGCTTCAGGATTTAAAAATGTCTTAAAAGCTGCTTCTTTTGCTGATGCTCCGATAACTGCTTACGCTAAGTTAAGAAACAGTGATAGAGTAAGTATTTGGCTATGAAAAAAAAAGAATTGAATGTTCCATTTTGGCTTGTTGTACCTTTTTCTGATTATGTATAAAAAAAGTACTGTTTCAGTTGCATAACTTTTCACTCCAGTGGGAGATTAATCTAAAAGAAATGATATTGGTGAATTATGCAGGACTCTTCAGCAGTGCGCATCCACGACTCCTGCTCCTTGCATGATTCGAACCCGGGACCTTTGGCATTGTAGGCAAACGCCTTACCATCAGACCACTGGGCTGGCATCCAACGGTGTTAATGTCTAACTCTGATTGATCTAGGGATTTTGCGCGACCTCACCCATTTGTCTTTGGTAGTAGTTGCTGCCTACACCCGACAGGGTTGAACTCCATTGGTCACGTCTTCTCAACTAGAAATCCGAGAATTTCCTCACGAAGCTAGTCACTAGTGAGCACGGTTACGATATTTTGAGGCAGAGTTTTGGAGGTTTGTGTTTTTACACATTTGAAATCATCCCATGCTAGGACGAAACGGCCGTCTTTCAGTGCTTCCAGGTTTCTAATGGTGGTGGTCTAACAATGATTGATTGATGATTTCAAATGTGTATAAACGCAAACCTCCAAAATTGTGCCCCAGAATTATGTAGGATTAACTTGAAATTGCTTATATAGTTGTTGATAATTCAACTATTAAGTTTTTGGTCATTAGAACCGAAATCAATTCTCAATTTATTTCATGCATATGATATTAATGGGTTATGAAATCTGTTGATCTGAGTTACACACTTACAAACTTAATCCTCCATGATTACCGCACAATGATTATATCTGATTAATAACTACCTGTTAAATAAGTGCGCGGAACAAACTATTTGGGCTCCCCTTATCTAACCTCAATCTAGAAGTACTAAACTGAGCTGAGGACTTACTATTAACACTAATATCATCACGTTTATGATCAATAAAATCAGACATACCACAGACAGCTTTAGAAATTTTACCATCCATTTCGTCATTTTCCTTCGGCTTTTTGCCTCTGGTTTCCATTGTATGCTTTTGTCCGAAATTCCGTTAACAAGCAAATATGAATTAATCCAAACATATTCGACCAATGATAACAAAAATTTGACCCAAAATAACCACACGTATCCAATGTATGACAACAAATTAAAATTGTAGATCTTTGGACCCAAAATAACCACACGTATCCAGTGTATGACAACAAATTAAAATTGAAGAAGTTTGGACCCAAAATGTCCACACGTATTCAATGTATGACAACAAATTAAAATTGAAGAACTTCTATTACGTCCAAGTTTGGCTCTTTCCGTTATTTAAGTACAGTACGTCGATATATCTGCAATTCACGAACCCAAATTAACAACAAAGCCAACTCCAAAGTAGGTACCAAGGTTTAATTGTAATTCACAAATAATCGACCAAAATGTCGTTCGTCAATTTACAAATAGACGACCAATGTCGTTCTAACAACAATAATTATAATAATTACAAATACCTTCAATTTTATAGGTTCCTGGAGCAAAAACTCCAAATGACCAAAACCGAGATACTCGGAATTCGAAATGGCCGAAAATAATAAATGAAACAAGTTCATAAGTTAAGTAAAAAAAATATACCCAAAACACAGTGAAATTAATGATATTTATATAAAGGTTTCAATCAGCCGATTGTCTTCATTTCTCCCGTAAGATGTACTATTTGCTGTTTTTTTTATGTCTCTCGAATTAAAACTGACCGAATTGAGCACATAGTTTATGTTTTCAGGAGTCAATTGAAAACGCTTCAAATGCTATACATTTTCACATGATTAATCGAAATATCTTACGTACGTTATCTCCACTTTCAGACGAAATGTTTGAAATTCGATCAGTCCAAAGTGCAGTAGACTATGTCGTGATCTCATCTAAAGATTTTTATTACGTTACATCTGTATTCAATCATAAAGTAGCTATTGACCTTTTCGAATACCAAAGTATACTAACAAGAAACAGTTCAGCTTATATTGATTGCTGGACTTTAATCTGGACTTTAATGCTGAAATTATTGCATGAATTTGTAAATTTTATACAGACTATCACTTGGTTAAAAGTGTTTATTTCATTAGGAAGTACATAATTTCTGTCTAGTCCAGATTCAGATAAACATATCTTTGCACAATTGTGTATCAAATCTTATCTGTCATTTTACTTTGCTCTCATTGAAATGCATATGATGTTGTTATATAAATGAGATTTTGTGAGGAGGTAAGTTCTGATGAACACTGATTGAATCGGAAGCGGTTGGTAAGTTTATTGAGATATAGGATTGCCAGTTATTGCTCATATAAGAGAAACCAATCTATCAGTTTTAGGTTATTTCTGAACAAAATTTTGTATGCAGAAAAGGTAGTCAGTAATAGTTTAGTACCATCTGACCACAAATGGGAATATAACGAGAATTAGGAGTTGTTTAGACACTATTATTACTTCTAGTATTGATATGATTATCATTATCATTATTGATATAACCATTAATATTATAGTAAAAATGTATGTTATAGGTAGAGACACTAAGTCTACATACTGACACTCGTTGCTCCATGTCGACTATGTTTACTTCTGAACGCATGCGTTAGACTTAAGTATGTGTTTTTACAAAGCACATGCATTGCGTTCTATGATATAATCTTTCGAACAATCACAAACAAGACAATAAACACGTTCACGTTTCGTATCATTTAAAGTTATGTTTGCTCTACACATTTTTTGGAACATTTAAGCAAATGTGTAATGATATTTTTTATGACAGGCGAATTATGACATTGACGTCGCATTTTGTTCCAAGTATTCCATGGATGGACAGTTCAATGTGTAAAGTGAATAAATTGACGAAAGCTGATCGTTTACTGATTGTATCAACATACACAAAAACAGCAAGCTCTGATTTTCGAATAATGATTGATTTTGATGACAGGTCCTAATACTTACTACAATACAAATATCCATCACATTTCTCTTTGTATTCATCTCAACTTTCATGTAAGTTTACCCGTAAAAAACTTTGTGATTATTTCAGTATTGAGAAAACAAGTTATCGAAAATTTTCAGTGATACACCTAATAGTTGCTGTTATATCTGTGTAAGTTTATCAATACCCTTTTTATAACACTTCCATACTGTCTTGTAAATGAAAGGAAAATATATATGACCTAGATAAATATTCAACCAACAATCAGTATTCAATGGAAATATTTTCTGTCAGATTTGTACTGTGATAGTTAATGTGTTATCAATTACAAGCATAATTAAGATTTCTTTGCACTGAAATCAACCGATTGGTTTCAGTTTGACAAGGTCATTTAACATTTGGATAAACGACTACTTCCAATGACTTTGATGTGTGTCTGATGTTGATGATTTCCCTCGTTCCTATTTCCCATTGTGTCATTAAATAATATAAATCAATATTTCACCATTTGAAACCACGCATAGTTCAAGTCTAAGAAGTTTTCTTTCAAATTAGCTGCACTACAACAGAGTAAACAGAGACTTTGTTGATATAAATGAATGGTCTAAACTGCATGTCATACGTTGCATAATTCCCTAATCCCATATTCTACATTGATGAGTGTAATCAAAAACCAAATCACTTTAGAAAAACTTTCGTGATCGCTAAAACTTACAGAAAGGAGATTTAGTTCAATAGAACGTATGAGCGATTGCATGTGCATATAAATCATCACAGTGTCATTCTCAGGTGGCTCTTCATTAGCAATTTCAAATATTTTCTCGTTCGTGTACGCATCGCTCAAACCCTACATCTTATTTATTTCTGTTCTATTTTTCAGTCTCATCGCTTTTTTGATAGCGCTACTTATTGCAGTTGTGAAAAAGATCAGTGAAAAATATCCTCTGAACGTTGTCTTTGTGATCCTTTATGTAAGAGTAACTATCAAATATTCATTATTCCAGATATTTCAACTGCTTAGTGTGAGAGTAAGATTAATGTATATGACAAGGCAATCAGCTGGGACTGTTTGTCTGACGGGATAATGTTTGTCACATCCGATTTCCGATGGATACTTAGATTGAAATAAATCTTTGATCTGCAAGGATGTGAAAATCAGAATTTTCATTCAAAATGTTCGTTCCGCATCATGTTTACAGAGAAATAGTGTTTCATCCAAGAAAACAGAAATTATTAGATAACTCCAGTTCTGTCCAATGTTTGTTCATTCCTCTCATATCTTTCTCTATTTCTCGGCGTAATGTATTCTTTGGCCTTCCTCTTTTCCTTTGGCCTTGAGGGTTCCATGTGAGGGCTTGTCTCGTGACGCAGTTAGGTGCTTTCCGCAATGTGTGTCCTATCCACTTCCACCGCTTCTTCCTGATTTCCTCCTCCACTGGAATCTGGTTTGTTCTCTCCCACAGTTCGTTGTTGCTGATCGTATCTTACCAACGAATACGAAGTATTTTGCGTAGACAGCTGTTAATAAACACTTGTATCTTCTGAATGATGGCTTTGGTAGTTCTCCAAGTTTCCGCTCCATACAGTAAAACTGTCTTCACATTTGTATTGAAAATCGTGATTTTGGTTTTGTTTGAAAGTTGTTTGGATTTCCAGATATTTTTCAACTGTAGAAATGCAGCCCTTGCTTTGCCAATCCGCGCCCTCACATCTGCATCGGATCCACCTTTCTCGTCGATGATGCTGCCCAGATATGTAAAGGTGTTAACGTCCTCCAAGGCATCTCCATCAAGAGTGATTTGATTGGTGCATGTTGTGTTGCATCGGAGAATTTTGCTTTTTCCTTTATGTATGTTGAGACCTACTGCTGCAGAGGCTGCTGCTACACTGGTCGTCTTCTCTTGCATTTGTTGTTGAGTGTGCGATAGAAGAGCCAAGTCATCTGCGAAGTCCAGATCGTCTAGCTGCGTTCTAACTGTCCAGTTGATACCGTGCTTCCCTCCAGATGTTGACGTCTTCATAATCCAGTCGATGAAAAGGAGAAAGAGAAAGGGTGAGAGTAAGCAACCTTGCCTGACGCCGGTCTGCACCTCGAAAGAGTCTGATGGTACTTGTTCCTCATCCCAAATCTTCTTGAAGAGAATGTGAAATATTTTCGCAGTTGCTTCCACATCTGCTTTCATTGCCTCTGCTGGAATGTTGTCTGGTCCTGATGCTTTGCCGCTCTTGATTTGTCGGATGGCCACACTGATCTCCTCACTCGTGGGTGCGCCAATATTAATTGGGAGGTCCGTAGATGCTGCTTCGATGTTGGGTGTCTTCAGAGGAGCTGGTCGATTTAGGTGTTCCTTAAAGTGCTCTACCCCATGTCCAACCCTCCTCCTTTACCCGGGCTTGGGAACGGCAGTAGCCCCGAAGGTTCTACTGGCGGAGTTACCTTGTACAGAGGATCACTTTAAGTTTCCACTAAATCACATGCTTAGTTGTTTCGATGATTGTGGATCGTGTACAAATGCACCAGAATCGCAATTCCGTCGAAATTAGCTCTATAGAAGAATATGTGATCAATTTCTGATCATCAGATAGATAGATATCATGAGATGTGGGATAAATAAATAAACGATTATGGTGTATGTGTAATTTTGTTTTTCTCTTCAGAAACTGATTTTTTGGTTAACACGGATGGCATATATGTCTCGCCCATTTGGGGACGGACAGTAAATATCTTACGATAGTCTCTAACTTACATGATATTGGGCATGGATATATATCTACATTTTACCTCTGCCTAAATGATAAGCTGGATTAATCTTTTTAAATTTACAGTTGTTGATTTCTGAACACCAGTGAGTATACAATGAATAAGACATGTCACACCATCAACAAATGTTTTAGTCCCGTACCAAACTAAAATCATTTTTCAGTGATCAATGAAATGATCTATTATTCAAATATACCAAACTATTTATATACCTTATGTTTCAAAATGTTGAGTGCAATCGCAACTGCCAGAATTACAATCGATAAAACACCAAGTGATATTAGAATAACTGCTGACTGATCCAACAAGCGTGTCTTGATTGCTGCACCAATCAGTAATGCACATGTGAAGATCGCCAAACTGATTCCGAAGACCGACAAACTAAGAAGAATACATAACTTTGTATTCGATACTCCAAGTGATAAGGACAGTAAAATAGACTGAAAAGCGGAATGAATGTTATAATTTGAAATGAATTTGTTCATTGACAAATGAAGAATTATGGTTCATAACATTGATGCGGACGTTTTTGGAAATCACTAACAAGAGGATAAATGTCTGAAATATGGAATGCGTTCTCTCTGAAAACACTGTATAGTCGTGATAATCGTTCAGACATTTCTCATTTTAACGAAAAGTTGCTGTTTTTGATAATGCTATGTCAACTAACTACAGATGTTTACTTCTGAACATCGAAAAGATAACAATAATTATACATTACTCTTCTCAGTTGATGAGGAGATTTAGGAATATTATCCAAAGCGAAATCATTGAGGATGAATTAAAATAAAGCAATAGTAACCATCGTGGTAGGTAAGCATGTGGAGGACAACGATGAGACAAGCTTCCACCGTGCATACTGTTCCTGTTCAGATCATGAAATGTTAGAGCTTTTACTGCATCGATGATCTGGAGGTAGGCAAGTAATGGTAGATTGAAACAAGTACCATCAACAAGATATTAATCAATCGGTGGATCAGTGGAGTGATTATGATCAGTCAAATATCTAACAATGTTGCAGATAATCACTTTCCCATTTCTCGAACAGCACCAAAAGTAATATGATATTTTTGTCCGTATTGAAAACCATATCATGATAAGGCGTTCTTAATGGGTTGCATGAGAACGATTCAGTTGAGAGACATACATATAGGCTAATCGGAGAGAGGGATTAACACTTGAAAATAAACTAACAACTATCTATCAGTGAGTTTTTGTTGCAGACGTGTTGCGCAGAAAATTCATTTAAGGGAATTCGAATACAAATATACACGTTTATTAGACGTTATGTCACATACAACCACCAGATTTTTATGGACATTACTCATTGAAATGAGATGTCATCACTCTTTGACAAAACTGTGTTTAACGCTATTTTTGACACGTTTGCTCTGATGGTCGTTTTCAAACAACGTTGAAAGTGAACAAGAATTCTCTTCCTAGTTGAAGAAAACGAGTTACAGATGCTGTGTACTTGAACATGTCTTTATTTGTTTTCTGTGAATTTAGGTTTTCAGTTATCAGTCACTGATGGTACTCAAAAGTGCAATGTATTCAGCATTGTGAATGAAAATTATGGTGTGCACATCCACGCAGATCGAAAATTTATTTCAATCTAAGTATCTATCGGAAATTGGATGTGACAAACATTATCGTGTCAAACAAACAGTCATGAATGATTTCCTAGTCGCAAACAGTATTCTTAATCTCACACAATACAGTCTAAAAATCTGAAATAATTAACGTTTGATGATGATTCTTACATAGAAGATCGCGAACACAACATTCAGAGGATAACTTTCCCTGATCTTCTTTGCAAAAGCAATAAGTAGTGCTATCAGTAAAGCGATGAAACTACAAAATAGAGCAGGAATATATAAAACATAGGTTGTAAATAATGGGTACACAAATGCAAAATATTTGAACATGCCAATAAAGAACAACCTGAGAATGACACTGTGTTGATTTATAAGCACATCTTTTTTCTCGTGCATTGAAATGAAGTGACTGTCCTTCTTATCAGTTTCATCAAACACGGAAATATTTTGTAAAGATTTGTTTTTCGATTTCACTTATCAATGTAGAATACGGAAATCAGAAAAGATGGTGCATAAGAAATGTAGTTTAGTTTGTATGGGTTATTTCC